AGTAGTAGGACTAAAAACTGGTGCCACCCCTAAGAAGTACCACATGGTAGTTCTTCAAACAAATGAAATATCTAACAATTTCACTTCTCATATAGCCAAAAGACTTAAAAAGACAACAATTGCACTTCTAGTATAGCCAAAAGAATTAAAAACACAAACTCAGTTGTGTAGCAGTGGCCAAGCAATGTTAATTGACAGTGAATTGTAGGTAAAATGTGCCCGACTGTCCCCAACCCTTACAATCTCCTCAGCTCGCTCCCACCAGACAGGACATGGTATACTGTTCTAGATCTGAAAGATGCTTTCTTCTGCCTAAAGTTACATCATTCCAGCCAACCTATTTTTGCTTTTGAATGGAGAGATCCAGACGTCGGAATGTGGGTCAGTTGACCTGGACTAGATTACCCTGAGGCTTCAAGAATTCTCCTACTCTCTTTGATGAGGCCCTCCACTGGGACCTGGCCACCTTCAGAGCTGAAAATCCCCAGGTAACCTTGCTCCAATATGTTGATGATTTGCTTTTGGCAGCACCTACTAAGTCTGAATGCAGTCAAGGAACTGAGAAACTGCTAACGGAGTTGGGTGAGTTGGGGTACCGAGCTTCGGCTAAAAAGGCTCAGCTGTGTCAAACGGAGGTTACTTATCTGGGATACGTTCTCCAAGATGGAAAGCGATGGTTAACAGAAGCCAGAAAACCCAGATCCCTACCCCGACTACGCCTAGACAAGTAAGAGAATTTTTGGGAACTGCTGGCTTCTGCAGGCTGTGGATACCAAGGTTTGCAACCTAGGCTGCCCTCTTGTACCCTCTAACCAAGGAAGGGGGAGTCTTTAGGTGGACCCCAGATCATCAGAAAGCCTTTGAAGAAATTAAAAGGGCTCTACTAACGGCCCCAGCTCTAGCTTTGCCTGACCTAAGCAAACCTTTTACTCTCTATGTGGATGAGAGAGCAGGGGTCGTCAGAGGAGTCCTTACTCAGACTTTGGGACCTTGGAAAGGCCAGTCGCTTACCTATCAAAAAAATTAGACCCTGTTGCCAGTGGGTGGCCGCCTTGTCTAAAAGCTGTTGCTGCCATGGCTCTGCTTGTTAAGGATGCTGATAAGCTCACTTTGGGGCAACAAACAACTGTGGTGGCACCCCATGCTCTAGAAAGCATCATCCGACAGCCTCCGGATCTATGGATGACCAATGCTCGTGTGACACATTATCAGAGCCTCTTGTTGACTGAATGAGTGACCTTTGAACCCCCTGCTGTCCTCAATCCTGCTACCCTACTGCCTGAGACTGATGATTCCTCACCTACTCATCACTGCGCTGATATTCTGGCGGAAGAAACCGGTATCCGAAATGACCTAAGGGACCAGTCTTGGCTTGGGAGTCCGAACTGGTACACAGATGGCAGCAGCTTCGTGGTTGAAGGTAAGCGGAAGGCGGGGGCAGCAGTGGTGGATGGAAAGCAAGTGATCTGAGCCAGCAGCCTCCTGAAGGGACGTCAGCCCAGAAAGCCGAACTTGTGGCCCTGATACAAGCTCTACGGATGGCAGAGAGGAAGTCCATCAACATCTACACGGATAGCAGGTATGCCTTTGCCGCTGCCCACATACACGGAGCAATATACAGACAAAGAGGGCTGTTAACTTCTGCAGGGTGCTCAAGAAGAAATTCTATGTCTTCTCGAGGCCATACATTTACCAAAACAGGTAGCCATCATACATTGTCCAGGGCACCAGAAAGCTCGAGATGCTGTGGCTAGAGGAAACAAGATGGCAGATCTAATCGCTAAACAAGCGGCTCAAGGAGCAATGATCCTAGCTGTCAAAAATTCTAGAGATTGTTATGATACCAACAAAGCCAACTTCAAATACACCCCCGAGGACTATCAAGTTATGGGGAAATTAAGGCTGACAAAGGAAGCCCCATGTGGGGCAATAGAGACAGAAGAAGGAAAACTAGTCCTCCCACAGAAGGAAGGACATGAATATGTTACCAACCTACATTACCTAACCCATTTGGG